CATATAAACCATCTGCCTCTGGATACGGTTTTCGCTGCGCAGATCTACTGAGTCCCGAATCCGGGGCTCGTCTCCAAGCAGTCTGCGTTAAATACAAATAATGTATCTCTGTCTGTCTATCTATCTAGAGAGTGTATACACACACACACACAGACAGACACACACGCGCGCGCTCATTCTATTCATGAAAATTTCCGTGTTTTGTGGGGGTTTATATTTTAGCACTTTCTAAGAACCAGAACCAGAACCAAAACCAGAAACAGAAGCTTTTTCTAACCGGTGCGTGTGCGTGTGCGTGTGCGTGTGCGTGTGCGTGTGCGTGTGCGTGTGCGTGTGCGCGAGCAAGCTACGTACGTACCCAGCTCTCGTCATGGCTTCTATGCACGGCGGCAGGATGAAGGAGCCGACGCTTGTGCCGGAGAGCGCGAAACCGGATGCGATAGAGAGCCGCTTGTGGAAGTACTGGCTGAGGATGAACAACGCAGGCACGACGAGCAGAGCGCATCCTGACCCTGAAACAGTAAAGGGGGGCGAGACGACATTACACGAGATCTACCAGGAGTGTATAATATACAATATATTATACACTATTGTATACACTATATTATACCCTCCTGATAATATCAGAAGTGTCGTACTATAGATACATATATTATAAATAGATAAACAGATAATATAGACATCTATATTATGCCACTCCCGATAATGTAGAAAAATAGAAATGTATCATTCATGTATTCCTGCATAATAAAATAGGATATAATAAGAAATGTTAGGAAATGTTAGCTACATATATATACATATACATATAATGTAAAATATCATCATGTAAATATCACGAATGTAAACATAATTCATACATCATGTAAAATATAAGAAATGTATCCTCTTCTAAGAGTATTTATATACTTCTGATAATATAAGATATAACGTATTACTAAAAAATATTATTAACATTATAAACGGAGACACAACGTTATGCGTAGCTTGTATGGTGGTACGGCGTACGGTACATTGCGTAGGAGCATAAAACACAAGGCGTGTGCGTGTTGCGTGAACACGCACACACACACGCACACGCACACGCAACACGCACACACACACACACACACAATCCCACACACACACAATCACACACACATACAATCACATACACACACACACACATACACACACACACACACACACACACACACACACACACACACACACACACACACACACACACACACACACACACACACACACACACACACACACGCACGCACGTACGCACGCACACACATATATATCCGATCTTCAAAATTCAGTCTGCTCGCAGCATCGCGCAACGATTCTCCACCAATGCTAATGTACGTAGAAGTGGCGCTCATGTCGTTCCTTGCCCTGGATAGCGAGGATAAGTATTGTCGGCTGATCTCATACACTCTACTGTTGCATCGCATCCCTAATAGTAATTGAATTAGTAATTGAAAAAATACACACAGCCTACTGCATGCAATATACTATATTCAAACGACCATGTTGATCGTCGCAAGAAAAGAATTTAGCGGCTTCTTAACTTATAATCTGCACTCCTTCTTTTTGCCATCCAAACGTTTCTTCAACGACATTATACACTTCCTTTCCTTTCCCTTCTCTCATTGCTGTTTCCCTCGCACTCTACGCTTTCTTTTTCTGCTATCGTCTCCTCTAGCGCACAATTTTTTTCATTCTTTTCTTTCCTAATAGTTTTTAGAAGGGGAGGGGTCGTGTGGATGCGGGGCATTATATCGCGCTATCTGTATTCTATCTGTACGATAGCTCAATTGAGCATGAGAAAAAATAAGCTCCTTAAGTTAGCAACTATAAAAAAATTAAAGTCAGTATTTCGAATATATTTCACCACCGTTCTCATTGTTTCCAGACTGTTCCATACATTTTTTCGTAGTGGTTCGTTTACAAATGAAACAAAACAAACTTGACGCATGTCAGTTCCATTACTGTTATTGTATACTTAATCGGAGTATCGTTATCATAGGAATACTCATGTAACACACATTCACTGTAGCGCACTGTTAACCCTCGAACGAATAAAATCACGCGATAAATTCCGTTTTTTGTGCATTTTTAACCCAATATGACATTTTTAGCCCAAGTGCACCGTTATCATAATCGGTAAATCGTATAAACACTATATAATCCAGAACCACTATTCTTCAGTTTCAAATAAAATAGATAAAATAGATATAAAAATAAAAACACATACGGTTCATAACATCAATTATTCACAGCCTCCGTAATCTGTATGCATATACGAATTGGCACGGATAGCTAGCAAATAAGATTATTTTATATCACCGCATTAAAACGTTTAAACATATACGAATTATTTACACGTTATATACAGAGTAACACCACATTCAGTACCTCAGTTCAGAGATTTCTCTCTAAAATTTGCACTCCATATATTATATAGCGATTAAATAAATACACAACAGTCATTTACAGGTGCAAATAGATATCACATTTCGTCATGGCCAAGTTGTCACTTACACATCACGTACACGCACTATTTAATACATCCATAAAAAGGTGTGAAACGTATATTTATACATAATCTATAGCAAAGGCATACATTTATGAAACAAAGGCATCATCCTGGATGCCTTGCCATTTTTTTACGTTTGCCACTTTGTCATTTTTCAGAATTCACTAACCACACTTTTCCATTGTCTCCTGCATTACACATCGCTGCGTACGTCAATCAATACGTCCGTGGGCGTTTTTACAGTTGGTGACAGACTAAACAGAGACCTACATCAATCTCCACGAAGTCTTACCCCCGGCGAAATAGACCTACTCTGCCTTTTCGTATGTGTTCCGCAAAAAATCCCAAGCTTCTGCTAAGAACCCGTGAACAAGTTCCACCTCGTCAGGCCACGCCGACCTGACCGACTCTTCCATCTGCTGCCACACCTCCTCAGCACTAAGATGCAGCAGTCCGCTGTTGCTTACCAGCGGACCGTCATCTAGACGGGCTAGTACCGCTTTCACAGCTTTCATTCTCAAATATCCCGCCGGCACGTGTTCGATGAGCTTACCTTTATCTTCCGCCAATACATCAATAGAGGGAATGAGCGGGTGTTTCAATTCCCCTTTAGTTTGACACGTTTCTATAAACATGAATAGTTCGCGAACAATTTCAGACAGTTTTACATGTGATGATGAGTCACCAGAAGACATGATAGAGTACACATGAAGTAGAGCTAACTTCAGGAAGTAAGAGTCGATTAGGCTCTTGGGTTTAGACCGAGTGGCAATAAACAGGCGAATGATGTCTATCGCGTTCAGACGCAACCTATACACCTCCACGTTTTTACGTAAATTGTTATCATTTGCTAAATTTCGGATCTTTTCATCGTAATCCTGTATTCCTGCATCTAGCAAAGCCTTTACTACAATCAGAGCCTGTCTGTAAATTTGAGGAAACCCAGTAATAAGCAAACTCTCTGCCTTTGCGGAACACACTGACCAGTATTCGTCGGAACCCACTACGGGTTTCGGGACAACATGGTAATGGTAGTCAACAGGGAATCGGTCAGTCGCACCTGCTGGTTTACCTGACACTTGGATAGATGGCGTGATATCCACGGATATTGAAAGGTTCTTGTATGCGTCACCTGCGGCATATACGAGATTAAACTGCGTGCACACTTTATTCCACTCCACTGGCCGCGATGTCCGGGAGAATTTCAATGGACTAGATGCGCTTTTATGCATTACGCTGGCCATGGCTGGACACAAAACTTGAACGAACTGCTCCTTAAGATCGACCAAGAGACACTTGCAATCATGACAATCTCTAACTCGAACAATGCCAGGCGTATCCGTTTCTTCGATCAGCACGTTGCCGGTAAATTTGTCTAGTTCAAACATGAAGTCGTACTCGTCTGGCAAACCAGCTTTGGTGCGATTAGCCGTGCTGCCAACGAGCACGGGCTTGCAAGAGAATTCAGGGTCTGCCGCAGAAATCTCCTCGGACACTCGCCCCATTAACTCGAGCACGGCTAACCGTATCTGTGCGCATTCCTCAGGATGCCTTAACCTGCCGACACCTTCCAGCTCCCACACATCCGTGAGCGAGCGCACGCGCCGGACCCGCGCGCGTGACGTCACACTGTTGACGTCATTGCGTGACGTAGTAGCTTCCACGTCGCAGTAGCAACGAGATTCTAATTCTCCTAAATAGAGATACGATAACAGCTCTCCGGCAGCTTTTCTATAACCGTCGTTGAGAGTAACCTCACAGGCGCGCCGCGCACTCACTTGGTATGCGAGTTGTGCCGACTTCTGTCGCGCACTGGCTGCTAGTAAGACGGTGACAGTCTCCGTGTGACCATGGTCAACAGCGCATACTAAAGCTGTCCAGCCATCATGACCGACAGCTTCTAAATTTGCACCAGCTGTTACTAGTCTGGCGACTATGTCACTGTGACCTCCGGAAGCTGCAAGTATTAAAGCCGTGTAGCCATCCTGACCACTGGCTTCTAAACTAGCACCAGCTGTTACCAATATCATGACTGCGTCAGTATGACCGCTACCAACAGCAGTCATTAAAGCTGTGCAGTCATCATTATCGGCAGCTTCTAAACTCGCACCACATTTGACTAGAGTGGTGACTGTGTCAGTGTGACCGCTAGAAGCAGCAAGTATTAAAGCTGTGCAGCCATCCTTGTTGGCAGCTTCTAAACTCGCACCAGCACTTGCTAATACCGTGACTGTGTCCGAGTGAACACTGACAACGGCAACCATTAAAGCTGTATAGCCATCATAATCGACAACTTCTAAATTCGCACCAGCCGTTATCAGTAATGTGACTGTGTCAGTGTGACCGGTACCAGCAGCAAGCATTAAAGCTGTGCAGCCATCCTTATCGGCAACTTCTAAATTCGCACCAGCCGTTATCAGTACTGTGACTGTGTCAGTGTGACCGCTGCCAGCGGCAAGTATTAAAGCTGTGAAGCCATCATCATCACCAGCTTCCAAACTCGCTCCAGCTGTTAGTAATGTGGTGACTGTGTCAGTGTGACCAGATGCGGCAGCCAATAGCAACCTCCTGTTTAGGACAATAGTTGGCTCCCGTGCTGGCATATCATTACTAGACATCCTGGCTTTTTGTCATTCACTCATGTTGCCGAGAGGGGTCTTTAGCCGTGTGGTCCAGGCGTAGATGACCGTAGTGCAGGCTTAGCTGGCGGTGGTGCAGCTCTACATTTTTCTTGCAGCAAATTCGGATATCAGCTGCAAATAATGAAAACAATGATATAATTTGCGTGCATATGTTATAATACAGCAATATCATTTTACAATCTCGCAATAAATAATTGCACGCTTCTCATAATAAGTTCTGATACTCGGTTCTTACTTAGGCTAAGCCTAAGGTAGCTCTAGAACTATAGCCCTCCGCTCCGACGCGGGAGCACACCCAGGCCTAAGTAACTACCCTGGTTTCAATAAGCTTTATCGCGAATCGGAACCGCAATGCGTCATGGGATAGGAAAAGGGGCAATAGCGCCGCGAGCGGTTAGCAGACCACTTGTTTACTCTCCGTGACTTCAACACTTTTGGGACTTTTTATATGCTTTTTATCATGCCAGGTGGCGATCATTGTGCTGCTTTTGGTTGTAATAATGACAGGGCCGTAGGCTGAGTAAATTCCTAAGGGGGCAGTGGCGGATCCAGGATTTCAAAGAGATAGTGAGAAACAGGTGGGGGGTCTGGGGGTCCTACCACAGAAAATTTTGAAAATGTAGATCGCAGGAGATGGTATTTGAGGCACTTTTGAGTACATGTACAGCCTTCATTCTGACTACGACAATTCTCTTTTAGTAGATCAATTAATTTTTTTTATTTTGCTCCAAAATCTAGGGGGCAGCTGCCCCCTTGCCCCCCCCTCCGCAGGCTACGGCCCTGAATGACCGGAGGTATCCTGAAAGGTAGGCATCAGTTATTTATCGATTGTTTACAAGTTTTAACAACTTTTTAAGGAAGCTTCTTCTTGGCGTGATTTCGAAGTAGCCTATGAATATGAGCGATACCGCGCGCATAGATTTGCACATGGCCATGCCACCCATTAGATACAATAATGTAACCCAACAAGAGTAGGGTTACTACTCTTGTTGGGTTACATTATTGTATCTAGCACCCATATATTATTATGGCCGTGGCTACGCGACCGGTTCCGGACGCGTAGCCACTGCGTATTATTATACATCCACCCATAGGCATAGTGGCTTAGTGCCTCCACACCTCCCTTATTATTGTAATTCCTAGTCTATCGTATAACTGACAAACTGTAAAAGTCATTTCTACCATACCTCATGATATGGTTATTCCAGAGCATATAAATCATAATAATTATGCTCTCGTTATTCCATAGATATATACAAACTGACACATTGTCTATGTTTTCATGTTTGCTACTTTCATGCAAGCAACTCTCTATCGTAGACTGGTACCCGGTCCCACCTCTCGGCTTAGTTACTCGATGGGGATCGAGACATCGAATAATCGAGGTGGGAGCGAGTACCAGTCTACTCTCTACCGCTTCCAGCCGGAAGTTAATCAAGTAAGCAGCACGCGCGCCGCGTAGTGGGACAATGTAGAACTACGGGTAGAACTGGCATTCATGCTCTTGCGATTCAGTGGTCTTCTTGCCGTACAAGCACTGGAACAGTTCTAGCTGTTTATGGTTACATTTACTAATTTAGCTTCCTTGGACCAAATACCGTATTGGGCTAGTCTATGTCAAGGAGCTGTGTATTTATACAGTTTCTTGCACGAAGGACTGCGTTTCTATAGTGGCTGTTTACTGTACGCCGGTCTTTGAGATGCATCACTCCATCAGCAGCATTGCATATGTTCTCTCAAAATGTCTCTGCATTGCAAGAACTGTGGAGTTTTGCAAGAATTGAAGAGTGACTCTTCACGAGGCGAATGACATGGCCTCTGGTTATGTTTTTGTTTATCTGCTGTCTCTATGCACACTGACATGTCAAAGCAGGGCTGCCGCACCTACGTCAAGAATAGATGACTATTACAAGATTACAGTGAATGCTGGCAAAAATGAATCTTTTCTGGCTCATTTTTGGAAAAGCACAGGTTTATGGTGCGTGGTTACTTTGCAGCCTGCACTGCAGCGTTCTCCCCAGGCCTTTGACCGCATTCCTTAAATTCACTCACCACATTTAACGGAAAATCTGCCCGACCTTGGCTCCAAGAAACGGTCTTGATAGGGTTAGAAGAGCTCATAGGGTCTATGTCCCCCAGGTTACTGCCAGAACGTACTGACTATCTGATATGGTTATGGTTAGGGAGTAGGCGTAGGCGACTCCCTAGACTCGTTAGTGGAGTAGGCGAGGTACGGTCCGGCATATTTGATATAGTACCAGGGTACGTTCCGGTATACCGGACCGTACCCAGGGTACGTTCCGGCAGTACTCTGGGGCTTGCCTTGGGGGACATAGACCCTCTCAGCGTTAGAAGACCGTATAGACAATCAGTCGCACAGCCTCGTCGGGCTACCCGGCTTGCCAAAAATGCCTGGCAATGGCTAAAGTAAAAGTTGTTGAGAAATGCAGCACTCACTGTTGCCACAGTGTTTAGAAATTGGCCATTTGCCTTAGAACAGCGACACATGCACGCTATACTTTATTAACTGGTATGATTGACATTTGTTGAGGCATCCACGTTCTAATTCGGTACTGCAAGTGCATGGCACAGTCCATAGCTTTCTAGCTTGAAAAATCATGCTAACAAAATTATGACCTATATATCTATGCTAATTTCAAGAGCCCATCATCTCTCCCAATAGTCTATAATTCACACAATTATGAATGGAAATAAAGATTGACCAACACATATTTTAATAATTTCATTGTGATATACAAAAAAGAGTGTTCAGAATAACAATTGGTACTTTGCACATCGAGTTCAATTTCTATGTGGAATTGTACTGATTGCAGGAACACCGAATACTGATTGCAGGAGTACTGATTGCAGGGCACAGAGCATGCAGGTGTTTCTTCTGAAAGACAGGACCGGAAGCTGTCAGCTGCCCATTGCTATATTACATCGTCATACAGCCCGTCATTAAAATAATTATTATTATTACAGCATTTGATACGTGTGTTTTTCAGTCCACCGCAGCCGCATAAAGCAGCATCTAACTTTCTTTTGAGTAAAGACATGGAGACCAATCTTATGTTCATAAGTGCTATTCCAAACTCTGGAATAGAACAGGTGAGAATCCACTGGCTCTTGGACCTCATCACTGTCAGGTGAGTCTGCTCTGTACCTTCTCACTATTGGCAATTGATGGCAGTGTTATTATCTGTTAGATATGAATCGAAAGTGTATAAGATTAATACTGCTGTTGCCATGGGATATTATTTTTTATTGGGTCGAAAACTGTTTGACGCTGTGCCCATTTAAAGTTTGTTATTCGTATAGTGCTCTTGTAAGTCGCTGCAACCATGCTAGCTTAATATTGTGTAATTACTCGTTTGAAAAATGCTATGTCCTGAATAGATATCAATGAAGTCTGACTTGCATTATGTCCTGTATGATGTCCCTAATGCGTATATTGAAGTTTTAACTTTTAACATTCTGCTCATTTAACTATATAGTGAGGATGTCAATGGGACACTTGCCTACAACTTCACACATCTAGATCAACTCATAGACATGCTCTGGAAACTTGAACTAAAGCCTGGTTTTGAAATTATGGGCAACCCTGGAAACATTTTCACAAATTTTGAAGATCCAAAGCAAATTTACTCATTTAAGGAGTTGGTAAAATGTTTGGCCACAAGATATATAGGTATATAAAAATAGACTCTCTGTGCTTAACATTGTTTTGCTGTAATGGGACTAGGGGATTGAAATTAAGGAAAAGTGTAAAATACCTAAAAAATTTAATTTAATTTGTGTCAAAAATGCATTTAATGTCATTTTCCTCAGAGCAAAGTTTATTTCAACTAAATCTTCATTACTAACTAGTAACTATTAGTATTGTTATGCAATGGGCTGGTGTTGTTATTTGTACCAAGAAATTTGTTTTTTTACCTATTTGTTTGCTGGATAGATTATTTTGATTAGCAGGTATGCACTATACTAGCATATATACGTTTCATGTGAAACCAACAAATAACTGGGGAAAAATTATTCGTGAAATTCTCAGTTAGTCCATTAATTCTACCATAAACATGCTTTGACCTGCAAGATGCAGTGAAACAGTTTTTGCATTTGTTTTTTTCAGCGAGATATGGAGAGCGCTATGTATCTTCATGGAATTTTGAATCATGGAATGAACCTGATCACCACGACTTTGACCAGCTGAACTTCACTGTACAAGGTTTCTTAAATTACTACGATGCATGCTCGGAAGGGCTCCGAGAAGCAAGCAAGTCACTGATTCTTGGAGGTCCTGCTGCCTCATGCCGTCTCTCAAGTTTCTCAAAAATTTGCTGGGCATTACTACAGCACTGCAACAATGGAACAAACTACTTTGATCGTACACGTTCTGCGAGACTAGACTACATATCAATCCATCATAAGGTATTTTTAAGTGTGATTTAGGGTACCTGAGGTATGAAACGTTTTATTGTATAAAACAATTTAATGTTATGTAAATGAGTTATTTATATGTGTGATATTGGCTATCATACTTCTTAAATCAAAGTAATTCACACTATTGTTTGTATAAAATTGTGGATGTGATATTGGTAGGGTAATGGATCGTCAAGCTACATCTTGAACACTGAGCTGGAAACAATTGCTGCAATTAGGAAGTCATATAAGAAACTCGAACATATACCCATATTTAACGAGTAAGTACTTATTTGACTTGGGTCCTAAATTTGTATAATTTCAGTTTATTTTTTTATGATGTGTTTCTGATAGTTACAGTAATCCCCCATGGTACATAAGCAATGCGTTTCTGTAGGAAATTACCTAACATGAAATTTACCTTATTATGTAATTGGCGGTGCATTCATACAGAAATGTTTTTGGTCAAATGACGAGCAGTGTGCAACATGCCCTGTCCAACTGATGTAAGGGGAGTACAAAGGCTTTTAGGTATTCTTACCAAATCACAGCACAATCTGTGAGCTGTGGAGATGGCTCACCAATAGCGAAGCAACATTATTGTGGCGATCACAGCACAAGAAAGTGCAATCATGGATAAAAAGCATAATCACGCAGTAACCAGTGCTACATGAATATTCTATCATTGTGGATGTCTCTCTTTTCCTCTCTTCCTCCCTCCCTCTCTCCCTCCCGCTCTCTCTCTCTCTCTCTCTCTCTCTCTCTCTCTCTCTCTCTCTCTCTCTCATGTCTCGGATGCACACTGTTGCGCTGTGGCACTACGTATATGATTGATTTAATATTGCAGTACACATCTTTGTATTATTTGTGAGGCTAAGTCTGTCTACGCTTTCTATAGTGAAGCAGACCCGATGAAAGGTTGGTCCAAGGCACATAAGTGGAGAGCTGATGCAACCTATGGTGCTATGGTAGCTAAGGTATGTATATAATGCTAATCAGTATAAGAAATATACCAATACAGTTTATTTTTACAGTAGTAATAAGTATGATAATCAATTTAGGTGTGTGTACATTTATATCTTGGCATTAGTGTTGCATATATCTGCGTTACCACAAAAAGCTGTGGAAATTTTTTCCATCAAGCAAAATGTTGTGTGTAGGTCATAGCACAACACCAAAGTCTCATCCTGGCCAGGAAAGGTAACACCATAGGATACAAATTACTGGGCAACGACAATGGCTTCCTTAACTACTATCCACACTACTTCACACAGCGCACCCTACTGGCTAGAATGCAAATCAATAACACTCAGTCGTACCATAGCCAGTTCATACGAAAACCAGTTTACACAGTGATGGGGCTGCTGTCATTTCTTGGAGAGACGCAACTACCAACTGAAGTCTTCAACAGACAAGGCATGCCAGTCCCAAACAACAGCAGATTGGGTGTGATCGCTTCTGTGCATGAACCAAACACTGTGCGTGGACAAGACAGGTATTTGTGTAATTTAGCAGGATTTCCTAATGAGATCATTTGTCATGCAGTGGCTTTTAAAAGTATCGTATTAAATAGCCAATAGTGCTGTGCTTGATATTTCGATAGCGTGTTATATAAATTTTCTCTAATGGCATTGACTATGGAAAGCAATGACAAGAGTAGTACGTAGCCATCATGTTGCATTAATAAATTAACCAAGACTATAGGAATTTCTTTTCTCAGACAAATACTTGCCAACACCCTAACATTCATAGCATTTTTTCTTTTACAAAACTTATGTATAGAAACAGTAATATTTTTGTTCTTTTACATGTTTCTCTAGCTGGCAGATCTCCATTCTGATTTACAATAGTGATGATATTGGGACAACAAAGGGCAGTTCAACAATAAATATTAGTATATCCGGCATACCAAATTCAATCAATATTAAAGGTAAAAGTTATTACCTTATAAAAAGTTTTTAAATAGAAAGTGTTACTGAAACATTACCTGAGTAAACATAACCTGAGTAAAAGACTTCATATTCCTTAGTGGCATTGGTATGGTTTTGGACAAGTTGTAATTCTAGAAAAAAATACTGAAATATTTTGTGTTTAAATGGTTTTTACGTCACGAATTTTTTAAGGTAAAATTTGTAAAAAAAAATTGCCATTTTTTTACATTAAAAGTAAGAACTAACGGGACTAAACAAATCGTCAAATTCTTACCTGATAAGATTGCTTCTCAACTAGTTAAAAATCCAAAAAACCAGGACGATTTGAATTAATGTTCTCAACATTAATTGCTTGCTATGGGCTATGTATGGGGCACGAGTGTATGTTCACATCGAACAATATAGTAAAATAGGAAGTATAATGCAGCAATTTAACCATAAAATGTGAACAGAATTCCTTATATTTTATGAAAAAGTGGAAATATTTCTTTTATTTTTTATTATTTACGGGGACGTAATCACTTTAAATCCTCTGTGGTGACTGTGCGCTCATGACATGCCTATATCAGGAGTGTCATAATATAGATATGCCATAAACATATATAATATACATCTATATTATGACACTCCTGCTTATTTGCTATATTGTAGACGCGATGTGGGTGCAGTACGAAGTGAGTAACTGGAGGACAAACCCAGCTTATGTATGGAATAACATGGGCCAACCAGCTTTCCCAACAGTTGAACAGTTCCAGAAGATAAGAGATCAGGAGGTGTTTATTTTGTAGGGATAAATTATGGCTGTACTTTAAATGCAGTATGAGCTGTTGTGGGGAATATATAATTTACAGAATTTTTACCTACCATCTGTATAGGTAGCAACAACACTATAGTGACACATCTCAGGTCACCAAACGTTTAGTCCCACAAAATTACCACACGTGCGTAACTATGAGTAGAAGAATGTGAATCATGGCAACAAATTTGTTATTGCCTTCAATTTTATTCAATTCATTTATTTCTTTATAAGTCATGTAAAGTGCTACTGCAAGCATTTAAGTTGTAAGCCTAAATCTTAATGGTGTATTGTTTAAATGTATTATATTGATTATCATGCTATCAACCTCTACACCCAGGTTTTTCTCATTTCTCCGTCGCTGAGCAGGGTCCATACCGATGGTCGAAACCTGCACCATTCCCTCCAAGCCAAGACGCGATAGCTGCTGGCATCGCGTGGACCATACCGCTGCCCGGGGTTGTGCTGTTTCACGTCTGTGCTAGGGCACAGCTACCTCCAGCACAGGTGACGAACCTCGTCGTCCGCAACGTCACGCGCGATCAGGTGCTGTTGTTCTGGAGCGACTCCTGCGTGCATACCAGGTGCATCGAGACGTACGAGGTGCAGTTTGCTCCACACGGCGGGAAGACAAAGTTTCGCCGAGTGAACGGGGACGATATCATCTTTACTTCGTACTTATATGTGCCACTGGAAGAGCGTCATGACTACATCGGTAAATAGTGTAGCAATGTTTCATGTGCTCACAACTAGTCTCTTTGCTCTGCTGGATAGACGAATCTGAATAGCACGTATGGTAGATTATTTCACATTTTGCAATGTACATTGTTCAACATAGTGTGTATGCATGCGTGCGTGCATGCGTGCGTGCGTGCGTGCATATGCGTGTGTGTAAGTGTGTGGGTGTGTCATTGTAACTGTGTTGAAGATATGATGGATACGTCAGTGCAATAGTAGCCCTAATATAGCTGATGTAAATGTCTACAAAATGTACCTATAAACATTTTAGGATTAAACTATCACTGCTTCTTTTCATTTCAGGTGATGGTGAAAAAGTGAGAGGATTGTACAGAGTAAGGGCTGTAGATTACTGGAAAAGGCCTGGACCATACTCTCTCCCTGCTCCGTATGGTTGATCTACAAGGAAAATAGAATTCCCGGATAACTTTCAGAATGTCCTCATCATAGATTTCCATTGTGATAGCATCATAGCAGTGCAATACTGGGACATGTGATGATCATCATAGCCATGTGGCTGTGCCACAAGCATTTTTGTAGTGGACAGGCTGGGATTGTACTAATTATCATTGTTGGGTTACGCTACGTTTTCCTATATGTTAGATCTGGCATAATTGAGAGAAATATGTGACACTAGTCCCAAATATTTTGTTAGGTATTTGTATGGGCACTCTAAAATGACGTTATCTGTGAGGTACTGGAGGCCAAGGGCCAAAGGCCAAAGAAGGTGAAGGTAAAGTTCACCATTTATTTCATAAGTTAAGGTATATAATTGGGTGGAGTCGACAAAAGCTCACCCTATGGTTTTCAGATTCGTCACCTATGGTCACAGTGAGATAGTGCGTCCGTTTAAATGGCACTATAAATGGTGAAAGAGCAGCAACTGTAATGATAGATGGTAGATCTTTTTGATGTATATAGATATTTAATATATATTTTCTTATAAAAAATCAGTTTAGACAAATTCCTTGTCCCGTAGCTGTATACACAAGGTACATGCAAAAGTACTTAAATGTAATTAGTTTGATATAATTGGGGATGAAATTGACAGCGTAACAATGTGTGATGAACTAATTTACTATAGTTATGTCACCATGTCTACAAAATTATATTATTGCCACAATAGTATTACGTGCATTATACTGCCACACAATTATACAGAGTGTATTTCATGATCCATCATTACCGTTTACAGACATGACACACAGGTAAAATTACAAGGACAGTATTAAAATATATAAGTGATGCGCAACGTCAGACAAAATACAGTCACGTTAATTTGGGTAATTCGTGACCAAAAGAGGGCGCCACACATCGCTGCTGTTGAACCTGTCACGATTTCAGGTACTTGATAGCTTTTAATTTATAATCAGGTAGCTGCTGCCTCTGCTATGTAAACCTCGATCAAAACAGCAGCTGTAGCACAGCGCATCTCATCGGTACGTAGACATAGGCACCTGGGCTGTGTCAGTAATAAAATGATAATAAATACATTGTATTTGTCCCAAATTTTTTTAGTGTTTCCGTACTTTATATCGCCTAATAGTTTCACGTAAGTGTCTTTTAAATACTCCTCTGCAACACACGCACTACCGTGTAGAAATTCACAAAAGATTAGGTATTAAATACTACTCTACCTATTGTAATAACCATCAACCAATGTTTTCAGTAAGTCTGGGAAACATTTGATAAAAATATGAACGCTCAATGTCCCACAAGGCCTCAACCATGTCGAGGTCAAATCGCTGAAGGTAAACGCATCAATACCAGTGCGAGAGAACGGAGGCACACTGTGATCTACACCTATAGCACTTTAGCTACCATTGGTATCGTCACGTGTTACTTGTTAAGCTAACACTTTACTATTATAACAATAATAATAATGGTTATTATTCTTATTGTTATTGCACAAACGGTGATTAGCTCGCAAGCTCATGTTGATCTATCCTTTATACCGTCAGGAAATAAATAAATAAATGCGTCGTACGAAGCAGGCGCCGTGCTTCCCGGATGAACCAGTCGATCCAGCCATCCACGCGCCTATCGACGACGGTCTGTGTCACCGCCACCTTTGGTCCGAGTGACTATTATTATTATTTTTATTATTGATGTAACCCAACATACATTCGCGCAGTTATACTAGCATTAATTATCGCATTTGTCTCGCTTCCTCGCATTTTTATTGCTCTGCTTTCGCATACTATAATTACTTTACATTTACCCCACTTACCATTACCAGAGACCCTAGAACAGGCCCTATTAGTGTGCTATTGTCTCTGCCATTACTAAGAAGGGTGCTGTTCATTCCCAGTTTCCCAGATAAAAAATGTGTCAAAATGCAATGAATTAAAATCGCAATTCTTAGTTCCGGTTTCCTTCTGTTACCGTATTACTTGCCGGTTCCTAAATAATTAAAAATGATCCAACCGCGCGTCCCGCGTTCCTCACTTATTATGAGCCATTTCACTACTACCATTGTTCTGAAAGTAGTATAGAAATAAAATACTACACGTGAATTGCCTGTTTATTCTTTCATTATAATATAGTATATTATTTCTGTGGAAAGTAATAGGAATAATTAAGTGAAGCGACATATTGGGTATAAGCACCTACGCATCATTCGGTCGTGATCAAACCTTACTATGCAGCGAGCAATGCCTTGTTCTATAAGCTGTCAAGCTAAGTAGGATAAGTAACATTGTGAGGTATAGAAAGCGCCGGATGGCAGGGTGGGCGTGCAATATAACAACATGAGATTAGTCGCAGTATTCCGTGCTAATAAGCTAGCTGTGCATGTGTATTGTGTGCACATCGCAGGGATACAGGTAGCGTTGTGCATGTGTATTGTGTGCACATCGCAGGGATACAGGTAGCGTTGTGCGTTATATTTGCGCTGTCCTAGATATTCGTCTAAACGCCGGTCGTCGAGTGCCGCATTAATTTTGCCGATCTATGATTGGAGCGCAAAGGGATCGATTTCTTTGCACCTCGCGTGCGCATGCGCCTGCTATGGCATCTCAGGTCATCCGCTGAAGGACGCGGACATGGCGTTACGACAGCGCGGCACGCAGGCAGTTGTCGTTCAAAGCATCGAGACTAGCCGCCGGGCATTCGGATTTCGTTGGCGGCTGCGCCTGCCGAGGATGCTTGACCCGATGAACTCCGATGAAGGTGACAATCCTACAAACGCACGGGGCGAGCGAACACTGCAGCCGTTACTCACCGTCGACCCACCAGCGTGAGCGCGTGTGCATACGTATATATATAATAATTATAGATATATACCTGTTGCATCGGCCGCGTCGCCGAGAATTCGTTCGACGCGCTTTGCGACGCTACTGACGGTCAGCCGAGCAGCAGCTGTAGCGCGTATTGATCCACGCGCATTCATCGCAGCACTGCTGATTCATTGCCACACAAGTAGTGATTGCTGTGCGGCGGCGGCGGGCGCGCACTGAATGCGAACAGACGACGAGGGGCGACGACGTAAGACAACGCGCTAGGCGTTCTTCGTCCGTATGCCTGCTGCTGTTGCATAGCTTCGTGCGGGCTATGTTGATAACCGACAGCTTGTTAAAGCGCATCATGGTTCTTAAATGAGCATCATCAATGACTGAAATGAATGACTGAATCCCGAAATGGATCCCTTTTACGACAGAGATAACCAAGGTACGTAAATAATAATGATATGATAAAGTAAGATGGGAAATATATATTTTACACGTAATTTAGAAATATTATGAACTGGGTCATTTTCGGCAGTGATGATTTATTCGATGGGTTATGAAATTATGTACAAGGTACTTCAATACATTAACTATTGTAATAACCTTATCAAAAGCAGTTCAATGTATTCTCAATTACCATTGATGTGATATTTGTGCTCAAAACGTCTATGTTTACTAAACGTACCATAAAGGAGAAAGTTCCGCAAGGCCATTTAAATGTTAGGTCTAACATTAATATATTTTTTAATAAAATTTAATCAAACCACCATAGCGCGTTTAAACATAGTTACACAGCTTTAGGTGTGATTAGCACAGAATATAGATGGCACAACACTACTTATTATAGCTATATCCGCAACGATCGCTATTACTATATTAGGTTCGGATTGTTGTTCTGAAACAAAGTCGAATTAGACAAAGTCAACATTGACAAGAAATGGGTTCTAAATTAAGATTTTAAATATCTGTTATCAGTGAATGTAACACAACTGGATCGACTAGCATACATACATGACATTTTCGGCGATGTGATTGATGGTGACACATAAATGTTAGCTGAGACACGTGACAAGCTTTCTCTGCGAAAATCTGTATATGCATGTTTACTTATGTGTGTGTGCGTGCGTGCGTGCGTGCGTGCGTGCGTGCGTGCGTGCGTGCGTGCGTGTGTGTGTGTGTGTGTGTGTGTGTGTGTGTGTGTGTGTGTGTGTGTGTGTGTGTGGGTGCTTGCGTGTGGATGTGCGTGTGTGTGCGCGCACGTGTGTTTGCTGTGTTCGCACCTGCAAACGCGAGCTGCTTCGTGAGTAGGTAACGTAAACAGTGTTCTCCCCATACGTACAAAGAAAATGCGCACTCTGGCGAGGGTTGGGTGAGCGCCCCTCAACGTCATATCATTCAGCCTGCAACGAGAAAACGACGCCTCGATGCTTCCTAAAGCAAGGCTCAGAAGAAGGCTTAATTGTGTGCGCACCTTCTCCTTGAATAGTGCCCCAGAAAAGGTATCTGGCGCTTGGGGGGGGGGGCAAAATATAATGTTGGCCCCCCCTCCATCGTCTCGTTCCTCGTTTCCTTTGCCTGGCGAATAATTTGGTATTCATACCGACACCGTTCCGATCGGGTAACCCTACCATCATAATTATTCGAGGATGAAACCCTGTCTAATAAGATACTAAATCCATTTGACTAATATAATTGCCAATAAGTGTATATTGATTCAAACGTGCAATGTGCCAGGTATCGCAGTATCGCAGTTATCGAGAAGACCGGAACCAGTAATGCCGGAAACACTGTCCTTGTACTAATTCTGTCATATTTACGCAATGCGCAACCATTGTACGCGGAATCAAATGTGTGTGCACGATAGTCACCCAGTTTTACGAACAAAAACTTGCATAAAGCATTTTTTTTATTGTTATTGTAATCAGTAACACGGCACATCTGACGAAGCCTTACTCCGAAGATGGGAAATGCGTAATATTGCGATACTGTCAATATGTTCTATGAATAAATAATATGCGAAAACATCCTTTTGACACCCGCAACTGCGGGCCACGAGGGTTGTTAACAGATATCACGCGATTCAGAGTGCGCTGTTGCCATGGTGACGAGTCTCACGTATATGCTCACTCGTAATCGCCACGGCAATATCAGGTATCATAATACGTACAATGCAGGAAGCGAGTACAGGGAGCAGCTAGATCAGAGAAGCGTTTGATGAAATCGGCCCGACAGTAGAGCGCTGATTTTACCTCGTCGGGATATGTCCACGAAATCGAATATCTTGTATTGAAATGTCGTTATTATTGGGTCAGACAGCCATCGGGCGCGATAATCCCATGACAACGCTAGGCCTACATATACTTGTGTAACGATAAAAGGTAGACCGTAGGAGCGGGGAGTGTGTGTGTGTGTGTGCGCGCGCGCGTGTGTGTGTGTGTGTGTGTGTGTGTGTGTGTGTGTGTGTGTGTGTGTGTGTGTGTGTGTGTGTGTGTGTGTGTGTGTGTGTGTGTGTGTGTGTGTGTGTGTGTGTGTGTGTGTGTGTGAGGTGGGTTTAAGCACGATTTCTCCATATTAGATATGATGGATGTAGGCCTACACGCCACAGTTGTTGCTGAAAATTCTTGCAAATCCAGTCCTAATTACTGTTATAATGATTAATTAATTCAACAGTAAATGCGCTCTAGTTTCTAACGTAACACTTACGCCCTAAGAACACTCGAATATATGTATATCGAATTCTTCTCCGGTCTGTGAGATAGTCTCGTGGCATAAGAAATTTAAATTTAGTAGGTGATTCCTAATCATCATCATCATCATCATCATCATCATCATCATCATCATCATCATCATCATCATCATCACCCATGGCGGATGTCACTTATTGCTATCTTGTCGATGTATGTGTTTGTAGTGTCCATGCAGTGAACAATACAGTATGACAAGAAAACAGTTTGCTTGTCTAAACTGATAACACATTCTTACATTTCGAATTTATCTCGAACTAAAATATGCTATAATATCTACAATGAAACCCGTCTAATTAGCGTTATTTTGTCCTTATTTGATTTATATGTTTTACAATATAATTGCAGATGTAAACAGTCTTGGATCAGGTTCGGACGACTTAACTAATAGCATTGCACACACAGCTGCAGTTAAGGGAGACGTTTGCCTATTAAAGGCTGCAATCTTGCAGGACCCGGACATCATGGACGCATCAGATTCAGAAGGTGAGAATTTGTGAAGGTGTACCGGATATAACTTACACACAATCCGCATTTTAGCATACTCGTTTACTCGTTAGTATACTCGTTTACTCACAGCTACGTCACTATAGCTATTTACATAGAGTAAATTTTGTTTCACACTGTTTCCAACAATTATCAAATAGGGTCGGCTCTCCGACCATTTCATACGTTTGTGCATATTTGCATCGACAGGGGTCTTTCCAGGATACGTGCGTGCGCTTTTCGTATAATGATTTCAAAGGGCGTTAGGCGTATCTTATCCATTAAAACGTCATCGCTATCAAGAAGGAATTAGTGTTATAATTACAGTCTGCAGTCGTCCAGATGATTCTAACAGCGATAAGTGCACATGATAACGATTAAGATTATTATACCTATACCACAGCTAGCCCAGGCGCCACAAACACCCTCTACTAGCTCCTATTCAAACAAGAAAGAGGCCTTACTGCACACAATAAGACACACGCATGCGCACACGCACGCGTACACGCACATACACTTCTTTATACGCTATTGGTAATATGTCGCGTCTCTTTGCGTAAAAATATAATGCGAGATAAACATGGAAATGGATGTATCGTATTTATGTATGTATTCAGGGATAGCACAGCATAAAAATGTAGAATTCTGACAGTCGGCATTATTGGTCGTTATTGTGCATTATTGTTAATTATATGCGTGTTAAGAGGGAAATACAGATTGAGAAATTATGAATAGAGTAGTGTAACGAGTCAATATACGTAATGGTCTGCAAGGAAGATGGAGGTTTCGTAGGAACAGTCTATCATTTCCATTGTTGGTTTTATGAAGCTATAGCAGCGGTTAATGCAACGCAAAATTAAAGCTAGTGTACGCGGTGCAAGTGAACATACGTTAGCAATACAACTAATGTCATTTATTATTTGCTTGATCAAACACTTACGTATATGCGCATATTCTCTAAATATTAAACTTTTCAAAAGACTAATTGTCAAAAAGATCTTAATATTGATAGGCTGTTCTTTGCCCTTTATGACTTATTTTACGGCATGATATAACAGCACGCCAATTCTCATTCTTGCTATCTGTATTCTCATCGTTCTCTTTTTTTCAATATTCCAAATGACCACACAAGTTTTTCTACCATATCACACCAGCAGTAACACTTTCACTTTTAACGACGTCTCGATTTCTCTTTCCGTTTGTGTTTCTGTCAATCTGTCTGTCCACTCTGATCCGTCCACTCCAACTATCCATCCATCCATTCACCAACCCTGCCATCCGTCCATTTGTCTGTCCGTCCATCTTTCTGTCCGTCCGTCCGCCGGCTCATCCGTCCGTCCGCCCGCTCATCCGTCCGTCCGCCCGCTCATCCGTCCGTCCGTCCGTCCGTCCTGCTATCCATCCACACATTCACCCATCCCACCATCCATCCATCTATTCATCGAACCCCATCAATCCAGCTATATATATATATATATATATATATATATATAGCACTCAAGCTTCTCTCTCGGTAAGTTTCTCGATTCTTGTTCCTGCACCAACCGCACTATTCTGTCTGCGTTACAACTGACGTTTGCACCTATAAGCTTAATTGCCGGTTATATCGATTAGTAAGGGTCGATAATGTTACCTTTGCAGCGATAAAGGGAACGTTAAACGTTGTCGGAAGTTACGTGCGATGTGTTTGAACGCCATTGCCCCTAAAGACAATATCCTAATTCGTAAACAGGTTCCGCGGATGAGATGAATGTAGAATTTAACGGCGACTTAAATAACTCAGCAATTATGCTGAGTTAACATGCTGAGTTAACATTGCTTCCGTGCCAATGAAAGTCGGCCGGTTCATAATGTACCCACCTGTCTATTGTTCGTGCAATAATTCGCCATATTAATCCGTGTTCTCGCAATAAACAGCGAAATTAGGTAATTAACGCTACGTCGTGGGCATGCAGGTATGACGCCGCTGTTGCATGCCGTCAGCACCCAGAAGATTGAGTGCCTTCGACTTCTCGTCAAAATGGGCGCAAGCATCGACGCTCAAGACAGCTGTGGTCACAGCGGCATCGCCCTGGCAACCTATGCCGTGAGCAATTTTTATTATATCATCACCATCGTTATCATCATCATCATCATCATCATCATCATCATCATCATCATCATCATCATCAATATCATCATCATCGTCATCATCAACATAATAATAATCATCATCATCGTCATCATCAACATAATAATAATCATTATCAATATCATCATCATCGTCATCATCATCATAATCATCAATATCATCATCATCGTCGTCATCATAATCATCATCATCATCATCATTATCATCATCATCACCATTATTATCATTGTCATTGTAAGCATCGGCTTCCTCCTCGTCGGCATTGTCGTAGTCATCGTTGTCGCCGTCGTTGTTCTCTCATTTTAGCTGTTAGGATATATATAGGTTGTTAGTATATCCCTCTGTTTAAGCGGACAATGTTACAAGTCATACGAGGTGTATATTTAGAATTGTTTCTTAGTGTTTTTACATAAACGGTAATTTTACGTTGCACTTAATGTAATTATAAACTCTTACCTAAAAGGATTGTTTATGAACTAACCATATTACAAAACATCTGGTTGATTTGAATGAATCAGTGCACTCTAATTCTTGGCTGCATGAATTCCTCATTTCGAACAACCTTCTTCAAGCGGCAGAATGGCAAGTATAATACACCAAATAAATTACAAAGACTGTACAAAACCATTATTTTAATTTGATAGTTTTTCATGCATTACACGTGTGTGCACTTGCTGACGCTCAATAATCTTCGTCATGTTGGCTGTAGGGTTGGTTCGAAGGCTTGCAGTTTCTATTACGGAACGGGGGCATTCACAGTTTACGGCTGACGGATAAACACAACCGTACGCCACTGCACGCTGCGACGTATGAGCAGGACTGGCGAATCCTTGAACTTCTGCTTAACTATGTTCCTGCTGATGATGTCAACAAGCCAGATAATGAGGTAAAATGTCCGCCCACCCCTGTCGCTTTTCCATTAGGCATACAAATGATTTCCTGCCCGTTAAATAGTGATATACGCGATATAGTGATCGTATATGCGCGGGTCGACACACGTAGGTTGAAGGTTCCACATGCCAAATGAACATGCCCCATGTATATCACTATTCGGCCGAGAAGGGACACATGAAGGTCAAATAGTAATACACCTGAAGAAATCTGTATGCACCTGTCAAACTAACTGCACACAGCAGTTGTTGCTTGCACCCAAACTTTTTCGTGTCACTGCGCACCCCACAATGGCGCAACAGACTCATCCCCAATGCGCCTTCCCTACCCTACATATACCTAAGCCTTGTCTCTTTGTACGTGTGCGATCGCTTCTCGCTTAGCGAAGGAAATTGCTTGCGCGAAAACAATCGCAATACGGAGTTATTATGGTACGGATTATACGGGTTACCGCAAAAATATATATAGGAATTCAATGCTAAAGAATCAATTCGTTCCAAGATCATCGGAACAATTATGGCTCAGTGTAGCTATAGGTTAGTAATAATTGCTGTCCTAGACCATGTAAGATCTCCAACGAGACGGCTAGGTTTGCGCGTTGGAGAAAAGTCTGCTGGTGCATCACAACCTACGACAAAATGCCTGAACTGAGGCTGAATGCAGGGAAGTGGTTTGTGTGAGAGTGAGAATTGTTCGTAGACAAAAAATCTTTACTTTTGCTGCTCTAATACTACAAAGCTTCTCTCGATATTTGAATACAGAGGCCGGACCATCTTGTCTCGTAACACGAAATATCTCAATGCAAATACATCGTTATACATACGAAGTCAGGCTGTGTATTTATTACAAGATGCTGCTGAAGTCTTATATATATCATAAGTGATGGAACATCTTATTATCTATAAAGATGAAGTGTGCCCTAGACAGGCTACGAACCATCAACGTACCGCTCCACTGCGCACGCGCTCGCGATGCCAGTCTAAACTCTGTCCACTTTACCGCAGCCTATTCAAGCTCAGTAGTCAGCATGCAGGCATATGAAATCTTCCCTACTTCGTCACTTAGAACATTCTAACTAATGTGCGCAACAAAGATAGACAAGAGACACGCTCAATCTCGTGTCTGACATGAAGCGCGTAGTGAAATCCAGCATTGCACGCTCTCGCCACCTGTCTGAATGTAATTATTGATTTCCAGCCGGCTCAATTATTAGCGCCGCCTTATACACAGGCGTATCCTACCTATGTGCTCACCACGTAGTTTACATTACCTAACTAAACCTATATAGCACTACGCATGCACTCACCCTACCTATACCAGCACCCAGACACACGCGCGCGCGCGCGCGAAAAACAAAGAGAGAAAGAAAGAAAGAGAGAGAGAGACGCGCGCGGGAGAGAGAGAGAGAGAGAAGAAAGCGCGCGCGCGAGAGAGAGAGAGAGAGAGAGAGAAACCGCGCCAGCGCGCGGCGAGAGAGAAGAGAGAGAGAGAGCGATAAAAAGAGAAGCGATAGCAGAGAGATAGAGAGAAGAGAGAGAGAGAGAGATAGAGAGAAAGAGAGAGAGAGAGAGAGAGAGAGATTAGAGAGAAGAGAGAGAGAGATAGATAGAAGATAAGATAATAGATAGAGAGAGAGAGATAGAGATAGCGAGAGATTGAGAGAAAGCTAGCTAGATAGATAGATAGAGAGAGAGGGGGGAGAGGGGGAGAGGGGAAAGAGCGCGAGAGAGACCGAACGATACCTGTTTGAAACATATAGTAGAAAGTATGTCCTCCCCCATCCCGCTTACCCCTTTTTCTCGGGCAACGTCGGATACTTTTGCTAGAGTCTAATAATTTGATGCACAACGCTATAATCTGTTTAGTTTTCTGAACTCCTAATCCATCATAATAATAACTTCACAGGCAAATAATTGTAAGCACAGTTCACATATCAACGGAGAAGTTAGAAACAGAGAAGAGGGCGGATGTGCAGCAATGATGTAGGAATAAAGAAAATGTGTCCGAGGAAAGAGTGCAGGGAAGGAGGAGGAGGAGGAGGAGGAGGAGATACAAATATCAATTATTTCATTATTTATTGATCTTATTCCTAATATATTAACTCAAATTTAAGTTTAAACCTGCAGTTCATAGAATCTGATGACAAATCGTCGCACGCTCATCCCTATACTAAACTTACATGTAGATACTCGGCAGGCCAGCCGTTATTGCGCTTTCTGTGAAGCACCCTACCCCTACAGTCTTAAATGTTTCGTGGCAGAAGAAATGCGATTAGTTTATGATGTAAGCCTATAAAGTAATATATTACACAGAGTTTGGATAAGAAAACGCATAAATCTTGTCGCTTATGGACGAATATCAGCTTTATGTCGCCCGAGGTATATATTATTATATTAGGTAAACTAATAATATTAACCGTTACGAAGGCTAATGTATTCGTCGTTTATTTAATCCGTTCATCAAAAACTGAATGCGTTGCAAAAACGATGAGCGTTAATGCTGTTAATGAATGTCTAAAGATGAAATACCAAGAATAAAAAAGAATATATGAATACACCAAGAACGTAAATTTTAAATACGAGTTTTGCCGCTGTTCTTTTATTTGGCAAATGCTTTTTTTCGGACCTCATCTCATATTTGCGGCCTTTCGTCTATTGGCTCTGTGTTATTACTCCGTCGCTTACAGATGATACTACGTGTTTATGGATAAGAGAACAAAAAAACCGCTGGTGGGCTGGTGATCGATGCAACAGTATATCGCCATCAACGAGCGTAACTTGTGGTGTTTGCTTTAATTGCTATAATTGGTGGTTGCTGATTTTTGCAGGGGATGACTCCGCTGCACTGGGCAGCATTTCATAGTCGAGTCGAGCATATACAACTTCTGCTAAACAAGGGCGCTGCGCTGGTCTACATCGATGTTGATGGAAACACGGCGCTTCACTGGGCAGCACAGGTACTTCTCAGCTAGTTGTGCGTTTATTAATGATTTTTATGCACCGTGACAAACATGTTGCCCCGGTATAGTACCGCATTATTACTCGCGAAACGCAGTTGTACGTTTGATGGAGTGCATGGCGTCGACTCCAAAGTGGGTGAGTTCTATCTGGCTCTGATCGAGGCTATGATTACACGTTCGAAAAAGAATTATTCATCGGATAAAAGCGTTTTCACTTAACATCGCCAGAGACTACAATTTCCGAGGAACAATTAATAATAGTGAAATCGCAGCGCGGCATGGAATGTGACGTGTTGTTAAATGTTACATATAATATACTTCGTTAGTATCGCTTTTCACTGCTCCATATCACACGTATTGTAAGCATAATGAATCATGTACAATCGCCGCGCCTAACAAATTGCCTACTAAACTGTAATTTGTATTGAAATATGATGATATGCGATAGCTCCGTGCACCGTGGAATTCCTTCTTGACATAATTTAACAACCTCTAACTGCCACGGCCTGGCCACACAAAGGAGCTGTGGTAGAAGACATGGCCCTCTAATAAAACTCCTGGGCTAGCCCAGCGTGGCCTTGAGGAGAACACGTGACTGCGCAACTGCTTACGACATAGGCATGATGGTTGATATGCCTCAACAAAGCTATAACCGAAGCTACCACGCGTGTCTATAGCTAAAGTAGACAACCTCTACGGCAGTAGCATCAATTACTAGATCTACGGAGGTCGTGTCAAGCTGCATGCAAATGCAGATGTATTATGCTAAGTATATATGTTGTCCCCGGCGCGCATTTAGTGTGCAGATAAATGCGACAAACCCCCCAAAATCGTTGAAATAGAAATATTTTGAAATATACTGAGGAGTGCGGGAATCGCACAGTGTATGGTGTGGTGGGGTGTGCTCAGGCTAACCGCGGGATTTATACGGATTATATCCAACAGTTCAGTATCACACCAAAGGAAAGTTCTGCTATTGTTTACATATTCGGTCCTGTCTCAGAAATTAATAATACGCACAGTACATGTACCTATGATACAACTGATACAAAGTTTGTCATCCATACATACCCAATATTTACATTACGAACCCTTCTTAATTACATGCTTATAATGGGCGAGCACTCCGATGTCGTCAGGAGGTCAGACTAAAGGACGTTTGTTCAGGAATAGAAATAAATACTATTAGCATATCTCCGCTGATTAAATTAGATAGTCAAGGAAGTAGCGTGCTCAGTTTTTCGTAGTCGTTGTTGCCGTAGTGCCAATTTGCACTTGTGGCGAAATCATAGACGCGGAATTTCTACAGATGTCATATTTTCCAACTGTAAGCGAAAAATAAACAATTGATTTCAGCGGGAAGTTCACAAACGATTCAGTTTCTGAAAAAAGAGATGACGTTTGCGGCTAGTAAAATGGTGCTTATATATTACGTCATTGAGTATGACACAGCGCCATATGAGTCACTTCATCACATAGACACTCGAATCTGGGCCGCCATTAAGGCGATAATGCTCAACTACTTGCTTAGTCTTACACTACGCCTTTACACTGTGCCCATGCTCCCCCTTTAGTGACGACCATACATATATTTTTATACTATATATATATATATATAGGCCTATGTATGTGTATGTGTGTTTAGACTACTATACATTGCTACAGGATCGATAAAGCTGTAAAAATAATTAGCTTAATGAGCTGAATCCACTGCAGAAAGGATCAGTGGCTTGCTGTCGTGCACTGTGCGCCGATCCGGAGAGACGTGAAATGGTCAACAGCGAGGAGAATACGGGAAAGACAGCGATTCATCTAGCGGCGGCGACGGGACATCAGCAGGTGATCAAGGAGCTAGCGACGATACATTGCTGCAACCTAGATGCTCTTGACGAGGACGAGAGGCAAGTATTATTTTCATTAACAAATAATTCACAGTTCCGCTGATGATTACGCCATACAGTCTTTCCCGCCTGTATATCTCAATTGGCATAACTATCATCAGCTTTAATCTTTCACAATATTAGCAATATAATAATCGCACTGATCAATTTCCATGTTAAATGCGCAGGAAAGGTTAAAATACTGAACGTGAGATTGGCGTAAAGGTCGCGAGGGATTTTAAAGGGTAAGATATGGAGAGAGGGGATCATAAGGGAATGAGAGAACAACGAAAACCTCCGATTTCTGATATCTATATCATTATTATCGACTTATATAAATCAATATTACATTATATCTTTGTAATTATTATCAATTGTATAATATCGATTATGTGTTTGTATTTTTTTTTTTTTCATGAACTACAAAATGTAGGACACCGCTGCACTGGGCAGCCGTAACCGGCCAACATCGCTGCATCAGCACATTGTTAAAGCTGGGAGCGAATCCGAGCGTGAGGGATATCTCTGGAATCACACCCATGGACTACGCCGTCAAGTCCTGCCACACAGGTATGACATTTGTTATTATTATTATTATTATATTAAATATGATATTGTTATTATATTGTGTATTTTTAATATCCGTAACGGACCCGTGTGTAGTTGTTACGAATTGTATATATAAACATGTAGAAGTAAGTTTGCTATTATGCAATCAAATATTTTAGCACATTATTGAAGTAAATTCGTTTCGTATGCGGTTTGTTCAGTAGTTAATGTAGGTGGTTGGCTCGTTAGTATTTACTGTTGAAACGTTAAGAACATGAGCTTCGCTTGAACGGCGAGGATTACCACAGCTACCTTGTATTTAGTGGGAGTTGTTGGCACATCGTTGGCAGGCCCATCGTTGCTTAGTGGGAGTTGTTGGCCCATTGTTGGCAGCCCATCGTTGCTTAGTGGAGTTGTTGGCCCATCGTTGGCAGGCCCATCGTTGCTTAGTGGGAGTTGTGGCAGTGTGTTGTTTATTATTGGTACTGTACGTGGCAATCACATTAGTTTCAGAGTATAGGCACGATGCGTCTATAAATCTACGGTGTATTTTCGTGTGTTTGTGGAAACGTACGTTTGTTAGCAGAATCAGCGGTTCTCGCTCTCTCTCTCTCTCTCTCTCTCTCTCTCTCTCGGTCGGGTCGGTCTCTCGTCTCTCGTCTGCTCGATCGTCTGGCTGCTGGCGGTCGTCGTCTCGTCGTCTCTCTCTCTGTCTCTCTCTCTCTCTGTCCTCTCTCTCTCTGCTCTCTCTCTCTTCTCTCTCTCTCTCTGTCTCTCTAATCATCCCTCTCTCTTTTCTCTGTCTCTGGTCTCTGCTCTGCGTCTCCTTTCTCTTCGTTCTCTCTCTCTCTCTCTCTCTCTCTCTCTCTCTCTCTCTCTCTCTCTCTCTCTCCCGAACGATGTCAGTGGTTATAGCTTCTATGCTGCTTAGAGCCAGCATATCTACAACAATCTCTATCTCATGAAAAATAGTGCGTCTATAGTTACCGGCCGTCGTAACATATATTTCTGCGTAACACCGGGTATACTAAATAGCAACAGCGCCAATTGGTGCGAACAAGAAACCTAGCACGTAAACAGCTATGTTTACGTATTTTGTTACAGAATGCGTAAAGCTCTTTTGGAAGAAGGACAAGATCAAGTTGTTGACATCAGAACGCCGCGTACTTCCCTACATACCGCAGCACCATATGGGCAAGGGCCTCACAACAGAGAAGCAGGTTTCGACGCCTGCATCCCTCCTAGCAGACGACGGCACACACCACGAGAAGGAGAACACCCCCGCCCCGGCCCCGCGAAACATTCTCAGATTCATCCGACATTTCTTTCGGCGAACCCAGCAGGCTGATGCGATGGAGAGCACATACACGTCCAGCGAGGCCGGTCTACAGGACAGCTTCAGCTTCTCTAGCGACCAAAAAGAGCCCGACACGCAACAAACCATTCTTCCGGAATCGAACAACTTCTCGGAAATAGTCGTTAGAAATCCGTCGAAAGACAACAGCGAATCTAAAAGTGAGATTTTCGAAGACCTCGCCGAAACGACGCAGGTAGTGCGGGCTCCTGCCGCCGGAGAGAATGCCACTGTCGGTCCGCTGACAGACGCGGCGACGAAGTTACGCGACGCGGATGCGGGAGCAGTCTTCGAGAGTGCCCAGCCGGATTCGCAGTCACACGGACAGCGCGCTGAGAAGGCGGTCACTGTCACGGCAGCTGCCACCGACTATAACGCGAGTGATCCAGTCACCAGTTCCGTCCAAGCGATCGCGCTGAAAACGAGGCAAAACACTGCGCCGCTACACGCCGCCAACAGCGCCAGAGAAAGTAGCGACGAGCATTGTAAAGACCGTCGCGAGGCATTGATGGAGAGGTTCAAGATGAAGGAAGTCGCTCTGCAGCGCTACTCGACACACTTCTCGCAGGCAACGCTGAGGTGCAATCAAGTCGCAAACGCGCAAGGTGCACACAAAGTAAACATGTCAACGCGAAAGGAAGCGGCGGCGGCGGCGGCTCACGTTACAGATAAAGGTTCCCGTTTAGATCAAACGCTGCGCGCGGAAATGCTGGATAAGCTGCGGCTATCCGCAGAGCAAGCGTCGATGTCATCATCTTCCGGCAGTAAAGTCTTGCCACGCATCCACAACGACAGCAATTACTGGCACAGCTCAACCGCAAGGATGCGTTCTCTGCCGCTACTGCCCGAGCAAAGCGCACCCACTAAGGGCAACGCGTGGCACAGCAGCGGAGTAATTTATGGGTCGCAAACCGCTAAGCTGGCAAGTGACGTTCGGGTCAGCCCGTCTTCAATGAGAAGTTCGCTGTCGGACAGTTTGTCTGGAACCAGTCCTATGTATGACAAGAAGCGGACCGATGCTGTGCACAGGCTAGCCTTCAGTAAAAGCAGCAGACTCACGCTGAGCGATTCATCGGCACCTAGCGTCCTTGCTCAGCCGACGGGTGACGTCATGCAGAGCTACGATTTCCGCAAGCATTTACAAGGGAGACGGAACAAGCTTCTCGTTAAGGCTACCGAACACGAGAGGGTCGATTTAATTTCGGTAATCTTAATCCTGAGACCGATGCAGAACAATGCAACTTTTTATAATAGAAATTAGATGTGTTACGCGCTTAATTAAAACTTGGGCAGATAAAAACGCACTAAATATTCCTTGTCTCGCCATAAATCTAAATGGTGTTACAACTGAGTAGAGGGATGCTCTTCCGTAACAGCAGGAGCGAATAATGACAAATCTTTTGAGAAAAAAAATTATTTGTCGTTATTCACCTCTGATGTGATAGTCAGCCATAATCGGAGCATTTATCCATTCTTGTTTTGCACATCTCAGCATGAAAATGATGTCATCGTATTGTTTTGCAGTCTCGAAATCGTTCCGCCAACGTGGACAGTGCTAGCAGCTACATTACCTCGAAACCGATGCAGATGACGGGAGGTGTAAGCAACACCGAATGTTCTCCGCCAACTAATGTCGGCTTGTGCATCGGCCGCGACGTCGGCAGAGAGTCTGCCAACAGGAGTCCCAATGAAGTACTGGCAGCACAAGCAACAACAACGCCAAGTAATCCTTATTAGGTTACCGCTAGGATGTTCTCGCAAACGTTTTTTCTGTTGTTGTGATTGTTGTTTTGTTGTTCAGCGTGTTAATCGACCATGATAAATATATTATCTGAAAATCCATTTACGCTTCTATACTCATGTCTAGTGAACATAGTAGGTACACAGTATCCATACATGCGCACATGCATACGCACACAAATTTTTTGACCAGTATATGACATGATATTATAAAACTCAATGGAATTCTAGTTGTGCGCATTGGAAATTTTATTGTTACGTGTTGTGTTGTTTAGCGTTGCGTTGCGTGCGTTGCTTTGCGTTGCACTACGTTACGTTGCTTTGCATTGTGTCGCGTTGTATCGTGCCATACCGTGTGGTGGCATGGTATTGCATTGTGTTGCGTTGCGTGTCATTTAGTTTACTCTGCTTGCGTAGCGTTGGTGTATTTGAGTTGCTTTACCTTGGGGTCACATTGCGTCCATACGTTGGGTTACTCAGTCACGGCTGCCGAACCTCTCTTCGTCGGCGGTGAATCGGCGGATCGTAGAATATTTCCCGGCCATGATTTGACAGCTAGTGAGTTTTTATGTTGTGTAAGTCGAGATAGGTATTGTATGCATTTCAAAAATGAGAACGCGGCTTATAAACACCAGCGTAAGATTATCCACAAACCGGCTGCATACAATGATGACGAATGATGCTCGTTGTAAAATATGAAGTAAATTCTCGAGTGTTTTTCCCTCCAATGAAATTCTCCGTTAAAACAACTTCCGGGTGGCTGCGTCAGATCCGCAAACCGCTGTAAGGTTGCTGTTAATTAAGACGGTCTTACTAAGAAGTCCGAGACCGAGTGAAAACGTCTTTTCATTACATGAGATCTCTCTCTACGGTTTCAGTCGCGAGCGCTTCACCACGACGGCTGGATGGCGGGCATAAATTACCTGCACTAGTCAAGACCAGGGCGATACACAGAAGCGATGATTACGCGAAGCCATTGCTGAACCACGACGGCGAATACCGGAGACTGCGTCGCAGCAACACATGACAGCCGCGCCCGCAGCCGTACGTGACTGCCGCCGGTGGTTCGCGTGTGCCGCGAGTGTGCGAACGGTGTGTTGGAACCATAGAAATAATGTAGTAGACTAGTAAGTACTAATATAGTAGTGTCTCTACATATTTCTACGGTTGGAACATCACATTCCGAGTAGGTAATGGCGACGCGGCGTCGCGGTTTAAAACCAGATGAAACTACCTTACGCTTTCTGCGCATTGCGAGCTTATTACCCATCACATCTTTCTCTTCCATACAAGCACATCACTCCCGCGGTGGCGTGTGGGAGAAATGTTATCCTGAACATTGATGTGGATGAGGAAACGCCGAACGCCTTTCCTCGATAATGCGACGACCTCACGGTTATATTTTTACCCTAACAGGTAGCTAACAGCTAACAACGTGAGATTGCTTGTACAGGAGGTCATACAGATGGTTTTCAGAGTGTCCACTATTTTTTTCAAACACGTTTCTGTATTCTGCTTCGTATACTGTAGCAACTGTGATATTAAAATACAGTATGCAGTCGTCACTACAAGTCACGCCTTTTAAAATTTCAGAAGTTCAGTAGGGTGAAGAAATAAAGGACACCTGTAATACTAATCCACTCTTAAGAAAACCGAAAAAGATATAGTAACGTTTACAATCGGTTTTCGTCTAAACCTCGTATATACTACGTCGATTGCTAATTACGCTCTGAGTGGCTTCCAGAAATTCATTGTGTATGTGTGTGTGTGTGTGTGTGTGTGTGTGTGCGTGCGTGCGTGCGTGCGCGCGCGTGCGTGTGTGTGTGTGTGTGTTGGTTTGGTTCCACGTTCGTGGACCAACGACTTGACCACGATTCCTTTTACTCCTATTCCTTTCCGGCTTGAAAGGAAGCTGAATCACTTTAACCGCTTTCTTAACTTTAAATCTTACTACACGTTAACTCGCGTTTCTTCTCGGACGGTCTATCGAAGCCCTTAATTTCCTTCTTCATCATTTCACGATGCAGCTTTAGCTGTGCTCAATCAAGAACTTACTTTATTAATCCGGGATTCTATGTTTTCTAAAACCCGTCAAATGTTTTGATTAGCGGTCGCTTCAAAATCGGCCAATAATTGCATAGCCATCTTTATCTTTTCAGCCGTCTCTAAAAGGACGATCAAACAAAAATTAAGATCTCTTTCGCCAAATTAATTTCAAACTATCGCACTCGGCGTTTTCAAAGCAGCTGGCTTTCTATCGTATTTAATTTCCGTGGGACACTAGATTAAATATTTTTTCGCCAGTCACCTTTTCTCGCTGCGCCCTGTCTGGCATTAGTTTTACCCGCGCGAACAGTCATAGTAAGCTATCAATTATGTGTCGAACACGAATTCTCTACAACACATATAAATTCTATGAGCACATTATCAGTTTCCGTATACGCCACGATCTTCTTTCGCTGAATACAGGCGGTAGGTTAAAAGATATTGACATTATACATCGTGCGTGGATACGGAAGGAAAGTAGCAAATCGCTAAACAATACCCACCCACCCAATACGCACATGTTCGTGCCGTACATAATTATGTCTAAATTACTACTATATAGATCTTGTTGATTCAACTCCTTAGTTCGCTAGAAGTCACATCTGGTCCAACTCGAAAGACCGCTATGTAGTATGTATTAGTAATGGTCAAACGATTATTCCTCTATGATACGGCAGTTTCATTCGCGCGCTAATTAATATAAATTTTAGTATTAATATAAAATATTATAATTAATATAAAAAAGAGTATTAATATAACATTAAATTTAAGCCTAGCGCAGACTTGCGACTTTGCTGCAACCTGCAATCGCATGCGATCGATCGCACGCCTCGCCGAGTGTGCGCATGCAAGCGACTGGCTACCACGGCTACCATTTGGTGAAAAATGACGCTGGCGGCATGGGAGGTATTTACCCGTCATTTCCAGTTGGATCGCGACATCTTTATATGCCGCATGTTTCTTAGTGCGGTCGCTGTATTCCGGCAGAGTAACATCAAACAAAACCGGCCTCTCCATCCACACCTAGCAAAATGCTTTCTTTTGCATCACTCCAGCTTGTAGCTCTAGAACTATAGCCCGCGTACAGTTGCCGCATGGGTATAGAACATTCTATGCCAGTTTTACTAACTGCACCTGCTCCCCACTGCTTCCACGAAAAATGGCTCACAAAACGCAAAAATGATCGGGCTTTTTAACACTTATTTATCTACATGGACATCTCACCTATCCTTTTGAACACTTTCCACAACTTTACACCATGTATTTATGCATTTATTCCTTAAAGTGCTAGCACTACTTGCGTTTCGTTTTGAAATGCTGTTGTGTACACGCGTAACGTGAAAATACGTAAAATACTGCGTGGAATAAAACTCTAATATCAGGAGTAATTAATAGGCAGGACTTTACCCCTGATGTTATTTAATATTAATAATATCATGAAAGAATGGTAGCAATTATTCCGAGCGCAAATATATTTTTGGAATCACATGTTTCTACTATATGTATTACTGCGCGTAAAATTGTTATGCGCAGATAGGAACGACTCAACGAGGTCTGTATAAAATATGATAACTGTTATGCTCAGTATAAAAATACTTTCGAAGCTTATGTGCTGTGTCTGCATGTTGCCTGTTTTCTGATATAATTATAATTACGTGTGTATTGCCGAGCAACGTGAAATTATAGAAACATAATAAACTTGAGGCTGCCTTCAGCTACGACAATGACACTTGGAACGTCGTGGCAAAAACTGCACGGGGCAGGAATCAGTGATTCTAAACCAACTACGTCACTGCTATTTGGGAAGACGTCAAGTAAAAGCCACTCCAGCTATTCTGTGACTAATTAAAAAATACAGTTCAGTGTTTATTTGCATTTATATAACTATGTTTTTTAAGTTTATTTTAATTTGTACATATGTATAAGATTAATAAAATTCCAGACGGTTTCTGCTACTTCATCTTTGCGAGTTTCACACAATGGGTCATTTTTGTCTGTAATACGTGATTATGATGTGGCAGTGGTAGACATAGATGAAGATCTCGATTATCAGTGCTGTGACAATCGCCCACATCAAAAACCAATTATTGCGCACCAATTCTTTCTCAGTTTCTTTCCTTCTCTGTTTCTTCAATCGACCGGGCTTTTTTGGACGAAACCTGTCAGAACAACAAAGTTGTCAATTAGGATTACTACCACAGGAGCACGCACGCACACACACAAACGCAAGCACGCGCACACACAAACGTACGCGCGCGCGCACGCACACACCACATAGCTGGCGCGTCCGTGCTAAAATGGCTATTAGGTCATTAAGATTTCTAGCTTGTTCGTGTGATATAACAAAAACCGGTGATAATAACACGAGACGGGTGGCTGAAACGTTAGGTCAAAACAATCCTAGTGCCGACAAACCGTTAGTAACGCACAAATTAAAGCCGTGAATGGCGGTGGGCTAACTATATGAAAAAGACCAGGTGTTTTGCGACTATAGTTGCAATAATAATCATCTCGACATAATATGATATATTAAAAGTAAATAAATAAACAAATATATATATATATATATGTTTACTTATAGGGATTATTATACGAATTATTTATAATACCAATTTTGATGTATCATTCTTTCGTTTCCGGACAGATATAGAATAGACAATACTGGCACTGTCGGCCTTCAATCTAAGGCAAATCTAAACATTTAACAACATCACGTCCCATGTGGAATCAATTGTGTTTGCTTCAATTAGAAATAGAATAGAAACGGAAATTTAGATAGCCGTAAGATGTCAAAAAATTGACCTGCGTAAAATTACAATTATTCTGTTTGTTTGCATATAGTATATGCAGCTTTCGTAATTCTGTAAATAGTAATTAATTATTAACAGTCTGCGTTAAACACAGTAGGCCGCTGATCGGCATTAGTATCACGCGTGAAGCGTGCATGTGTCCTGTCCATCGAAAAACATATATACCTATAGGTATTATATATATGTATATATATATATATATATATATATGTGTGTGTGTGTGTGTGTGCGTGCGTGCGTGCGTGCGTGCGTGCGTGCGTGCGTGAGTGCGTGTGTTTACATGGGAAGTGAATCCCCCCAAAAAACATGGTACCTATTCGGCTGTACGACTGCGTTTTCGGCATATACCCACCGGTGACTTTGCGATATAACACTTTCCGCTGCCGCAGATTGCGATAAAACTCCGGTTAACATGCCAAGAAAATCGCATTGAACACATGATCAACATATGCCTATTTAGCTTTAATGGCAAATAGTGTAAACGTGTATTCAGCATACACACAAACCGTACTTATTTAATAGATACAAGTAATAAATAGCAATTAGTAATAATAGTCAGCTATACCAAATATTCGGCATTGAGGAGCTTTTGTATGATATAGTACATGGTACACCGCAACAAGTAGTGTATTTTATGTTCGGCATAACCGTTTGTAGGTTTGCCGCAACAACCTATTTAAAAACCATGAGACCCGTTGTCAGAAACAACATTTGTTTTAACATTAGTCTAATCATTAACCTTTTCTCATAGACTGTTGGCGGAAACATGTATAGATACAGTATATCATAGAGGTCCGGTCTACGAGAAAAAAATTTATGTTACGACAATAATAAGACGAATTTTGTTTCTAACAACGGGCCCCTAGTTACGACAGTGACTCTCGTACGGTATACACATGCAGGGTGAATTGACAGGCGAAAAGAGGAAAATCTACTAACCACGAATAGGATATCTCTTACACATTTCTAAACAGGCTCTCTACGTACCAGATGTGATTAATTGCGACACTCAGAGACACGATTGATATCAGCACCAAACTTTGCCGCACAACCGATTCGTGGCTGAAATAGAAATGTGCAATGCAAATGTGCAAAATGCGTTAAACGTGACGCTCGATTGTTAACGAGAGCGAACAACTCCTTATAGACTCAATATCAAGTATCTTAGGGGTGGGGTATACTATAGGGGTTGGGAATATGCCGGACAGATTATTTGTTAGAAATTTGAGTCTTTCTCCGCTTAGTTATTCCCGTACCATGTGCCCTTGCCCCCTTCATCGGTAACAACGTGCTTCTCTCCAGACGTTTCCTGCGGTTGAACTCGATCATCAAACTGTCTACTTCGAGCTGCTGCTTTTTCCCCGTTCTCGTAACTCTCCTCACTTTCTTTGGCGCCCGCTTCCGCGTCAGTAGTTCTCGTGTAAGGACATGCATGTGCAGCGTCGCTCCGAAGGTCGTCCTCGAGTCTGCGATGTGCTGCTGTCTCAGCCGTCGCGGGTCGAGCTGCGGTGCCACCGCCGTCATCATCTGACTCCGAATCACGCGGAGGACGGGTACAGGTTTCGTGTGTATGCTCAGTTGGCGCATCCACGTTTACGAAGTCAGAACTACTTTCGGCTGCCTGTCTGCACTCTGGAGCCGCTGTTTGCTTCGCCTGCTCGCCTCTTGATTGGCCATTAACATCCATATTGTTCGCGGTTAACCGCACGTTATGTAGAGATGTGCGCATGTCATCAGACACCTCTGGTATTTCTAGTTTCTCCTTATCATTTGACACATGACGTTCATACTTTGTGTCTACTAATACTGGTTCCTCATCTAATTCAACTGGGCGGAAGGGACATCGTTGAGGAGCGCTCCCTGCGCCATCTACTGGCTGGTCTAGGGCATCTTGCATGATAACGTCTAACTGCTTCCTTGTGGGAAACATCACATCTAAATGTCCTTCATCAACAATAGCTGGCTCGTTGAGATAGTCAATGTGTTGTTTTTTGCCTGTCGTAGTTATGGGACGATGTTCACTGTCTAGTCTCACATCTCCTACGTCATCACCTTGAGATTTGTGCGAGAGCTTCTCCTTATCATTTGACACATGACGTTCATACTTTGTGTCTACTAATACTGGTTCCTCATCTAGTTCAACTGGACGGAAGGGACAGCTTTGAGGGGCGCTCCCTGCGCCATCTACTGGCTGGTCTAGAGCATCTTGCATGATAACGTCTAACTGCTTCCTTGTGGGAAAGATCACATCTAAATGTCCTTCATCAACTTTAGCTGGCTCGTTGAGATAATCAAAGTGACGCTTTTGGCCTGCCACCTTTATGGGACGATGTTCACTGTCTAGTATCACATCTCCTACATCATCAACTAGAGATTTGTGCGAGAGCTTCTCCTTATCATATAATACATCACGTTTATACTTTGTGTCTACTAATACTGGTTCCTCATCTGGTTCAACTGGACGGAAGGGACATCGTTGAGGAGCGCTCCCTGCGCCATCTACTGGCTGGTCTAGGGCATCTTGCATGGTAACGTCTAACTGCTTCCTTGTGGGAAACATCACATCTAAATGTCCTTCATCAACAATAGCTGGCTCGTTGAGATAGTCAATGTGTTGTTTTTTGCCTGTCGTAGTTATGGGACGATGTTCACTGTCTAGTCTCACATCTCCTACGTCATCACCTTGATATTTGTGCGAGAGCTTCTTCTTATCATTTGACACATGACGTTCATACTTTGTGTCTACTAATACTGGTTCCTCATCTAGTTCAACTGGACGGAAGGGACAGCTTTGAGGAGCGCTCCCTGCGCCATCTACTGGCTGGTCTAGAGCATCTTGCATGATAACGTCTAACTGCTTCCTTGTGGGAAACGTCACATCTAAATGTCCTTCATCAACAATAGCTGGCTCGTTGAGATAGTCAACGTGCTGTTTTTTGCCTGTCGTAGTTATGGGACGATGTTCACTGTCTAGTATCACCTCTTCTACATCATCAAGTTGAGATACTTTCTTACTCTTAACTCCATTTTTATCTGCTTTATCCTCATTGTCATTGGAAGAAGGTACAGGATGTGTAGCTTTGCTGGCATGATCAGACCTCTCGTGTCTGTTGGGCTGCGCCTTATCATTTGACGCATCCAGCTCATGCTTTACCAAATCTGCCAGTTGATCTGCCAAATTCACCCGCTCATCTATATCGATTACAACAGCATCCGAATCTTGATTCCTCGCTGATTCATCGTAGTAGTTTGCTGCAGGCAACACCATGACGTCATCAACACGCCAGAGTCTCTTCAGATCTGTAGCAAAACAAGAATCACCGATGATCTATTTAAGAAATGACAATTAATGCAGTAAATTTCGTTTAAAAGTTATTCATAGACAAATAGACTGTAATGGATAAGAATATGTTGGGTGTCAATAGTGAGGCCGGATGAGTGAAATATGGTTGCCGGGCGTACGACGTATACGAGAAAACCTATACAATATACATCACATAGCATAGAAAAATAATTTATCTCACCATTTTGGTTTATATTCTCCCACGTTTCAGATGGTGATTTGGTTATCTCAACTTCTTGTTCATATGTGAAGGGGGTTTTGCCGCCAATCTGAAGATAGATAGTAATACTCTGTTTATATTGTCGCATATTTGGTACCATACATCGAAATGTTACACTTCTAATATTTTAGTAGAGATATATTAGCGGTATAATATAATTGTGATGGTATCTGATATTATATGAGTCATACCTGCAGTATTTTAACAAGCCACGTGCCTTCGTGAAGACGCCCACAGTCGAATCTGCCATCAAGTTTAGAGACGTTGAGGTAATCGAACTAAGAATAAAAATGATCCTGCATTTTAACTCGTGCTATAACACTTGTTATGATGATGTAACTCATGATGATAGTTGTTGTTTGTGGTAGTGGTGGTGGTTACTTTTGAGCGTGTTTTGGAGTGTTGTTGTTGGTTGATGGATGGCGGTCGGTGGCTTAGTTGCTAAGAGTGATTGGTGTTTGTGGTGTTAGTAGTTGTTAGCGGTGATGGCTCTGGATGGTTTTGCTCGCCTGGTCGTCATCATGCTCGCTGTCGTTATATATACTGTTATCATTGCTGTTGGTGGTGTATTAATTACGCCTGCTGCTGCTGGATGACGTCATCCTAGCTGTCGTACTTGGCGAGAGTGGTGGTGAACCGCCATAATTATGTAAACAGGGACAGGATTCGAAACAGGACATCTAACAAAATATATATAATATATATACACCACACTACATTATGCGGTTTTCCTGGACATCTAACAATATATATATATATATATATATATATATATATATAC